ACCAAACTGGGACGGACGACAGAGACCCAACGTCGGCCACCTTCCCTCCCAGCGAAGGCGGCCGCAGAGCCAAGTCGTGGAGACCACCAAACTGGGACGGACGACAGAGACCCAACGTCGGCCACCTTCCCTCCCAGCGAAGGCGGCCGCAGAGCCAAGTCTTGGAGACAACCATACTGGGACGGACGACAGAGACCCAACGTCAGCCACCTTCCCTCCCAGCGAAGGCGGCCGCAGAGCCAAGTCGTGGAGACAACCAAACTGGGACGGACGACAGAGACCCAACGTCGGCCACCTTCTCTCCCAGCGAAGGCGGCCGCAGAGCCAAGCCGTGGAGACAACCAAACTGGGACGGACGACAGAGACCCAACGTCGGCCACCTTCCCTCCCAGCGAAGGCGGCCGCAGAGCCAAGTCGTGGAGACAACCAAACTGGGACGGACGACAGAGACCCAACGTCGGCCACCTTCGCAACCCTGANTAGCTTGGATGTCATAGCTTGGATGTCATAGCTTGGATGTCATAGCTTGGATGTCATAGCTTGGATGTCATAGCTTGGATGTCATAGCTTGGATGTCATAGCTTGGTTGTCATAGCTTGGATGTCATAGCTTGGATGTCATAGCTTGGATGCCATGGCTTGCGACAAATTTCCATTCGGGACCGGTTCCTGGTGTCGTTTCTGTCAGCAGCAAGCACTGGAGGAAGAGATAAATATTTCTACATAAATGTTTAAATCTTCTAATCCTCGAAAAATTAGTGTTCGTGCATCGCGCTGCTTCCTACATTTATTCAAGTCAATAATTTAACTAAAGACTATAACTTTAACAGACGTCTGCCGCTGTGTGCGTCATAAGATTTTCAAATTCGTGTTCAATTTTCTGTGGCAGAAAATCGATTAGTCTCAATAAAAGTCAGTTGCTTCATACTGAAGTTAATGTCAATCTCACATGAGTTACCAGTTGACAATAATAAAATTACTATGCACCAAAACAAAAAGAATTAAAAATGTAGTCTGCGTTCCTAACCGTTAGGTGGATTACCGACCCTCCGTGCGTTGTCTGGAATGAGCAATGCCACGTCACTAGCAGTCTAGCACTACCTAACTAGTTGAACACTTTACGTGTTCTAGCAACTAATTTTATGCACCGAACACAAGAAAGCAACTATATGAAGTAAGAACCGTAAAGCACGGACGAAGTTCTGTCACCAATGTCGTTTGCACCAATGAATAAAATTTCTTCGAACAGTTGTGACTCGTGAGCCTGAGGTCATTGGAGAGAAAGCCAGCCATGACACTCGTGCAGCGATGAGTCATGCTTTTTACGTGCTAATAAAACCATCATAATTCACTGGATGAAAATGAATTTTGTTCAACACCTTGACAGAAAAAGTAGCGATAACATACTCGGATGCAAGGTATCTTTCTTACCTCTGTTAAAATGACCATTTTCCATCACAAATCTAAACACAGCTCACAAATAGACATCAGCCACACTGTCACGCGGTACACTGGCGAGTGGCGACTGCCGACTGGTTGGAAGTTGTTAGTTCGCTGTCCACGGCCCTGCCGCTGTTGGTGCTGCAGCTGCAACAAAGCGCTGTAGTGCGTTCGGGCGAAATTTTAGGCTTTGTTACACGTTTAGAATAAGGAACGTGATTTATGTCGCAATAAGTCGTAACATTTATTCGCCCGTTATCGCTATCATATTTTTTAGAATTCAATGTCAGACTACATTAGGAATTTTGTCAACCGTACCACAATATTATCTTCGCCTGTATATATTTCAATTTTGCAGACCTTGTTTGGACAACAGAAGATAACTTGTAATCTACAATGCCTGTCACCAGGCAGTGCACAGCCATAACTATATCAAGTAATTCCATTTCAACATCATAGTAAACTGAATATTAATACAAACCTGTTGGCCCAGAATGCAAATTCGAAGGTTCATCTATTGCTGGTTCTGCCAATTACATATCAGTTATTTATCTTATGATACGACTTTGCAATTTTCTCATGGAGCTAAAGGGATTTATTTTTGCTGCCACGTACTCTATCAAGTTTGTCAATGATTTTTGTAACGTACGTAACGGACTTACTAGTTGCGTACCACGAAAGCTAAAAAAATTGTAAAGTCAATTCGAATTTTGTTCCATGGTATGAATTAACAAACAAACGTACTCGTGAACATACATCGACGCCATATGAGCGGGAGCATTCCATATGCATTCCATAAATAATTCCCCTCCTAAATACGATACACGGAATGCTGTTCTGGCTAATTATTTCCAATTCACAGACATTAAGATTAATTATGTAAACTTTGTACTACAGTTGCCACTGTTATCGTGAACGAAATTTTTGACCCATGTTGATCGTAAAACGAGAGAATTTTCTAACATTTTCGCGATATCAGTTAGTTGGACTATTTATTATTTAATGATTGCTATATCATTCATTTGGGAATCATCCTTTTTGTATTAGACATGAGTAATTAAAGCCAAAAGCTCAGTGAAACTTCACTAAAGCATTACCTGACATTCCGTTGTTGTTCTTAGGCGCAGCCTCAACAATGACAAAAACTCCTCCCTGGCTCAAGATAAACATCCTGCCTTTCCGCCCCACTTTGCAACCCATTTCAGACTTTCAAATTCCTTCTCCAGAGCTGCGGCAATACAGCATTCTATCGCTCAATTTCCTTACTGGTAAATTATCTTCTGGCTGTGCGTTACAAAATTAAACGCATTGATAAGTTCTTAAACTGCCAGAATGTAATGGTGGATCGCACGATTTTGTATAAATCATTCAAAGAAATTAATTAATATGTACTATTTGTGCGAATTATTCGGAAGTATGGTCATTAATTATGATATTGAAAAGAAGGAATACTTGTATTTCTCTGCAAAATTTATCGTAATTCAAGTTAAAAACCCACATTATTTGGAATTCAAAATATTTTCTATATAGTTTCTACTATGGGTAACAAAAATAAAAATATTCGCCACTAACATCTCGAACTTTCCAAGCAACTTGTATGCAACTTGGATGCAATCTACAGTTTCTCAGAGTGAGTGAATGACGTCTGAAATTTAAAAATGTTTAGGTTCTGAATAAAATAAAAAACTTCTGAACGATTAGAGCGATATTTAACGTTTTTTGCAAAGGTTAATCATCATGAGTAGATGCATATTTTCCTTTTCAATATTCAGGTGACTCATTTGAAATAGATGATACGATATATCACTGAATACATCAAAAATATAATTAAATAATTCGTGTCCACAAAAATAAGAAGTGGTTCCATTTTAATATTTTAATCCGCACTAAAATTGGCGACGACGTGATAAGTGATGTATTGGAATAGACGAAAATGTATTTGCGTAAAATATGAACAAGGTTACCTTTTTTAGTGTTTAAATTTACTCTACACTGTTGACTTGATTTGAATATCCTTCCTATTCTTGCTTGTTGACATCCAATTTTGTTGAGCATCGCGTTAAAGCGGCCACAGACAGCTCGGTATAATTATTTGTTTTTAGTCTAACCTAAAATGATGCATATCAAAGAAAATGAAACCCGCCAAATGTGAGGAAAACTAAAGTATTTTTGTGACTCCACAGGACGACTGAAAGTTATCAAGTGGAAATTGAGTTTCTGACTTGCGCCTTGTTCTGCTGATCTATAAATTAAACAAATTTTCATGTAAACTTGCTTTGTGATGTTAGGCAAGGAGGCTCCGTTTGAAAATAAACTGCGAGCATGCATCATCTGGTAAGGAGCACACTTATGGCTGTTACCAGAGCTGGGCAGCGCTACTTTGAAATGCTACATGCTCTAAAATCTAAATGTAGCGGGCGCTACCGCTACCGCTACACCCACTAGATTGTAGCGAGCGCTACCGCTACCGCTACACCCACTAGATTGTAGCGAGCGCTACCGCTATCGCTACAGTAAAATGCAGCGCCGCTACATTAGCCGCTACAATGGCCAAAATTATTGGAAATCTCTAAATATTTATTGTTCTGCTATTGGGATTTACTCATAAACATTTAATGATAATAAATCATTTTCAAAACATTTCAATGCAACTTTATTGCAATTACCCTAACCAATGATTCCCAAAGTGGACGATATCGCCCCCTAGGGGTGGTGGAAAGATTTTGGGGGCGATAAATAAGAAGAGGGCGGTAGGGGGGGGCGGTAGTCTGAAGTCAATGTCAGATGTTCGAACGTTTGTTTGACGATTTGTACACAACACGTGCAGCACATGACTCCCAGCGATGATTTTTTTCACCCAGATCTGTTTTTTAACCTCTTCTGGCTTTACGTCTCGGACAAATGAATGGCCGGACTCGAGACCGGTCTCACGGCCAATTTCCAAATTCTATGATCAAGGAATATCTCACAAACTAATGAACTTAACTCGATGAATCTTTGTACACGTTTTCATTAGGACCTAACGATAATGTTTTACTCGTGAAAATTGTTTGAATTTTGCCATTCTTATATGGAAATACGGGCCGAAATAAACAATGGTCAAGTAATTTTTTCCAAAATACTGAACAGATTCGAACGAAATTTTAAATTTACAGTCCTAACTACCGAACGGTAATGTTTCGCTCGTGAAAATTTTTTCGATCGTGCCTTCGTTCGCGAGTATTTTTATTTCACTTTCATTCGTGATATGAACAGCACTACGTGCTTAAATTCGCAGTAATCAAGACATTTTTTCGAAACTTCTGAACAGATTTGAACGAAAGTTAGTATTTAAATACCTAACCTCAGCAACGGTGATGTTTACAATTTTTTCGTTTTGCCTTCGTTTGCGAGTTATACGGCTATACGTATAAGGCTCTTGGTTAAACCGGCCGGTAGAAAACCCAGTCGTTCCTCCAATATCTGTATAGCTCGCGAACGAAAGAAAAATAGAAAAATCGTCACGAGCTAAACAAATTCGTTGAGAAGTTAGGTATTTATTTACAAAGGTTCCTTGAAATCTGTTCTGTAGTTTAAATAAATTTTTTGATCGCAACGAATTACCCGGCGATGCGGGCCGAATATAAGGAAGTGTGAAATCAAGGATGACAGTGAAATGAAAAAAAAACTCGCAAACGAAGGTAATATAGAAAAATTTTATAAGCTAAAAAATCACCGTTTGGTACTTAGGAATGTATTTTCAAAATTTCGTTCAAATCTGTTCAATAGTTTGGAAGAAATTCTTTGATCACTGCCAATTTCGGCTTTTTTCGCAATATACGCGAAACTCACGAATGAAGGTGAAATGAAAAAAAATACGAGCTAAACATCACCGTTAGATTCTGATGAATACGTGTTCCAAGTTTCATAGAGCTGCGTTCATTAGTTTGGGAGATATTACTTGATAATTGAATTTGGAGATTGGTCGTGAGACCGGCGACGAGTCCGGCCGTAAATTCGCCCGCGACGTCCTAAGTTTCTATAGTGCTGAAACAGTTAAAACAG